CGAACGCTCGCTCGAAGGGTGCTGCCATGGCATTGCGTTTCAGGAGGGCGATACGATGTATTAGCTCCTCCTTAGCCTCCGCATCCGCAGGCAGGTCGTTAAGGTCGATCAAAATAGAAAAGTCATATCCCGGTTCCGGCGACACGATATATTGTCCATATTCCCGCTCGAGAACCCCCTGCGCACCATATTGAACGAGCTCACGGAAGCATTTCACTGAGATGGATATGAGAATTTTGGATTTCGTTTCCGGGGTAGAGAGATGGAATGTGACGCCGTCGAAGTCAGAGACGACTTGATCGATTGAGACAGGAGGGGCTCTAGAAAGGGGTCGAATTAGTCGTTGCCTTCACCGTAGCGGGATGGCGGGGATATCGTACCCAGAGAAGCGCTCCGTTAAAATGTTTTGGATAAGGACATTCTGGTAATCTAAGAGAAGCATGTTGACGGGCGAGCTACCATTAAAGTAACCTGTGCTTCCTTCTTATAGTCGGTGTAGTAATTATTCCCTGAACTCGTCGTTCATCTAGGCCACTAGGTTGTCATCATAGATAGTCGCCGTTATGGCGGAGTGATTGTTTCTGCCTAGTAGGTCTATCCAGTCTACCAGATTACATAACCCCATCCTTCCTATCGATTGCTATGCAAGAGCAAAAAGAAAGTGGAAAATAAAATAAAAAAAGTTTAGAATCATGTTGCGACGGTGAAGGAAGATGGTTAAGTCATATTTGTAAGTGAGATACTTTTCTATTCTCTTTATATGCGCCTTACTCGCTGGCGCAGGTTTAATTGATTTGAAGCTGACTTTTGCGCAGAAAATTCGAGCATTCGAAAACATTCGGGCTCGTTACTACCCCCTCGTCGGATGCGATATGGACTCGGGATGAAGGCAGCTCAGGCTCGTCGCGGCATACTGGCGCAGGGAGGGCGGTTGTCGGGGCGAGCGAGGAGGTAATCTGCTGGGATGTGAAGAAGGGAGAAATTCTCAGTAGATGGCGCGATGTGGACTGCAGGGCGGAGGTTACAACCATCTCTCAGAGCAAGACGGATGAGGATGTATTTGCTGTTGGGTAAGAGCTTCAATTACCACTTCGTTGCGCCAGTTGGCCAAGGAGCTGACATTTGTATACAAGATACGAGGATGGGAGCATTAGAATATGGGATTCGAGGACTGCGACTGTGATCATATCGTTCAACGGACACAAGTCGGCCATCACGCGATTGATTTTCGACGCCTCAGGAGTGCGCCTGGCGAGTGGTTCGAAGGATACAGACATCATTGTTTGGGACCTAATAGCGGAGGTTGGACTTTTCAAGCTGCGCGGGCATACCAACCAGATCACATCGATCCATTTCCTAGACAAATCCGAGGGCGGAGAGGGCGAGCTCGCAAACGGAGCTAGCAGTGGGAAAACCGATCATGGCGGATTCCTATTGACGACGAGCAAGGATTCTCTGATCAAAATATGGGACCTGTCATCGCAACACTGCATCGAAACCCATGTCGCACAGAGCAATGGAGAATGTTGGGCCCTTGGACTGTCCCCAGACCAAAGCGGTTGCATTACTGCAGGGAACGAGGGAGAACTCAAAGTATGGTCCATCGATGACAATGCTATGCGCGAAATCGCAAAGGAGAAGGAGGATCCAGGAGAGAAGAAGATCTTGACGGACAGGGGTACCTTCTACCGACATGGCAAAGATCGGACAACCGGGGTTAGCTTCCATCCTCGGGCAGATTATATCGCTGTTCATGGTTCGGAGAAATTGATTGAGATCTGGCGCATAAGATCGGAAACCGAAGTTCAAAAGAGTCTGGCGAGGAAACGCAGACGAAGACGAGAAAAGGAGGCGGCAGCTAATGGCGAGAAATTATCCGGGAAAGAGCTGGATGCAGAGAATGCTGAATCTGTTTCGGATGCTCCTGTGACCGAGGTATTTGTCCCGTATGTCACTGTGCGGACTGGTGGCAAGGTACGATCGTTCGACTGGGCTGGGGAGAGATCACGCAAGAGCCTAGAAGTGCTTACCGCGACAACGAACAATCAAATCGAGATCTACAATGTGGTCGTGGGCGGAAAGGGGAAGGGAAAGGATGCTGAGGAAACAGATTATACACGAACACTGTCAGTTGACATGCCAGGTCATCGCACCGATATTCGATCGTTAGCGTTGAGCTCTGACGACCGAATGCTCGCGTCCGCTTCAAACGGTAGTCTCAAGGTTTGGAATGTCAGAACTCAGAGCTGTCTACGAACATTGGAGTGCGGATACGCTCTCTGCTCTGCTTTCCTACCAGGTGATAAAATCGTCGTCGTGGGAAATAAGAACGGCGACCTCGAAGTATTCGACATAGCCTCCTCTACTCTGTTAGATACCGTCAAAGCGCACGATGGCCCTGTGTGGACACTCCATGTCCATCCCGACGGAAAATCGGTCGTCACGGGCAGCGCAGACAAGACAGCCAAATTCTGGAATTTCCAGGTCGTCCAGGAAGAGATTCTTGGTACTAAGAGAACTACTCCTCGTCTCAAGCTCGTGCATACCAGGACACTAAAGGTAGCCGACGATATCCTCAGCATTCGATTCTCCCCCGATTCCCGTCTTCTCGCCGTATCCCTCCTCGATAATACCGTCAAGGTCTTCTTCGTCGACACCCTTAAGCTGTTCCTTAATCTCTACGGTCACAAACTCCCTGTTCTCAGTATGGACATTTCATATGATAGCAAGCTTATCGTCACCTGTTCAGCGGATAAATTCGTCCGTCTTTGGGGTCTCGACTTTGGAGACTGTCATAAAGCAATATTTGCACATCAGGACAGCATCATGGCCGTGTCGTTCATTCCAAACAACAACGAAGGCAACGGGCACCATTTCTTCAGCGCCAGTAAAGATCGCGTGATCAAATATTGGGACGGCGACAAGTTCGAGCAAATACAGAAGCTGGACGGGCACCATGGGGAAATCTGGGCATTGGCTGCCAGCCATTCAGGAGAATTCATCGTCAGCGCAAGCCACGACAAGAGTATCCGAACGTGGCAACAAACAGACGAGCAACTGTTCCTCGAAGAAGAACGAGAAAAAGAACTGGAGGAACTTTACGAAAACACACTAACTACATCCCTCGAAGACGAGGAAGAGAACCCAGACGGAGAAAAAGCCGAAGCTGTAGCAGCTGGCAAATCGACCGTCACCACCCTCATGGCCGGTGAAAAGATAGTCGAAGCCCTCGACTTGGGTATCGAAGATCTCGAACTCATGCGCGAGTGGGAAGAGCTGAAAATCACTCAACCCAACGCCGCCCCTCCCCCACGTCATGCCCTCTACCTTGCACTTGGGGGAGTTTCTGCTGAGCGACACGTTCTCAACACGGTTCAAAAGATCCCCGCTGCTGCCCTCCAAGATGCCCTCCTCGTCCTCCCCTTCTCAAAACTCTCCCCGCTTTTCACGTTCCTCAATATCTGGGCTAGTCGTGAGTGGGATATCCCGCTCACATGTCGAGTTCTATTCTTCATGCTGAAGACCCACCATCGACAGATCGTTGCCAGTCGTATGATGAGACCGATGCTGGATGGGATACGGGTGACGTTGCGCCGTGTCCTGGCTCGGCAGAAGGATGAGATGGGATTCAACCTCGCTGCGTTACGGTTCATCGGTAACCAGATGAGGGAGAATGAAAGGTCGGATTATATCGATGAGGAGCGGTGGGAGGAAGAGGAAAAGAAGAGGATTGGAGGTGGGACGGGGAAGAAGAGGCAGTTTGTGACTGTTGCGTGAGGTGCTTGCTACATACATACTCTTGTGGATTACGGTCATGCTGGAAAATGGGATGATAGTCAATGGATTTGTCTAGGTGTTTTATGGGAGACAAAAAGAGATTTCTGGTCTTGTACAATTAATGAAGTCACGGTCTGAGGGTTAAGATAAAAGTATTGAATATTTCTAGATCGGAGTATCGTTTAAGAGCAATGAAGCCGGTAACCTCTAGCACCAATCCCAGTGACAAAACCCTATCCAAGCATTCAGAGACCCGAGCACAATTTGAAGGGCATTTATTCCCCTAGCATCTGTACAGAGGTAAAGCTTGCTAGCCTCGAGGTATCCCGAGACTTCTCTCAGCTCCTCGACTTCCAATAAACCATTCTTTAGCTATCGAGCGATAAGTAGTACCTAAAACACTGATGCTCCCAATCGAGCCCACAAGTTAGCATATGCAGTGTCAAAAATAAGGTATCATCTCCTCGCAAGCAGAAACAGAGCAGAGTCAAAATCAAGACCAAGGCAGGATAGAAGGGGAAGCCAACCCCCACCACCCTTCTACCCCTCTCCATCTCAATTTCGCTCTCGTATATGTATTTTCAGTAGAACCATTCTAAGCATCGACGACAAAAACCCAACAGAAACCTGACTCCCCCACATCTTCACGAACCCACCGAAACTTGCATATGACGATACAAAGAGTCAAGGGCCTCCCGTAAGGGATGGCGAGATGGGGAAAGCGAGGTCTGTCGTATTGGTAATGCCATATGTCTCTTCCGGCTCTTCCTAAAAGTATTCCGGTTCTATGCAGAAGTTCTCATCATTTTAAATATTTGTGTTTGTGGGTTTCTTTTCGGGCTCGTTCGTGCGTGTGGGACAATTGCACGGACAGTTCTGAGGTAGATCCTGCCTTGCTTCGACGGAGAGAAAGGAAACGGTATACTTACAATTTAGCAGAATGGGTAGAAGCAGATTATGCACCCTGAGCGCGCTGCTGCCTCACATCATGGTTGTTGTTATGAGAGGAATGAAAGCAACAACAAATATTTTGAAGCTTTTGAAGATTTTCCAGGAAAAGCCGGGTCACGTGGCTGTTGATGCACAGACCAATAAAAAAGAAGCGAGCACTCGAACTCTTGGCATATAAAATCACCAAAATCTTCACAGGAAGTAAAAAAAAAAAGAGACGGAGCACAAGGGAAAGATTTCGTACAAGGCAAAAAATAAAGACAAAAAAGTAAAGCCGAACGCGAGGCTCGAACTCGCAGCCTTGTGGTAGCAATTAATTGGAGTCAATTGTCCCCGTTTTAAGAGCCACACGCTCTACCGATTGAGCTAGCCCGGCCGATTTTGTTGGTATCGTCGGAGGCATTTTGCGACTATGGAGCAGAAGTGAGAGACGGTCCCATAAAAAATTTAGAAAATCAATTGAAATGAGTCACCACAGTTCGGACGGGAGAAGAGAATTTTTTCGGTGGCGAGCGATAGAGAAAGCCGCGGTAAATTTTCGACCTGCTATAAAAAAAATTTCAAAAAAATGAAGCCGAACGCGAGGCTCGAACTCGCAGCCTTGTGGTGGCAGATCAGCGATCTTTAAGAGCCACACGCTCTACCGATTGAGCTAGCCCGGCTTGATTGTTATTTCGGATATCCACCATAAAATTCTTGTTGCATGATCTCGTGTGACCCTATCTTACAACCCAGTTTCCACCAAAAAGGGGCTTTGATACAAGTACCCATAGACACTAACTGTTCCTTTGGTCTATGCAGATACGGCCAGTCAGTGGTGACTACGTCCAGGGTAAAGGGAGAATGAAAGATACCATCCAAGCAATACTGAGATTTCCTTCCTACTCCGCTCTATGCAACCAAACATTAGGGGGCGTATGAACGAACTCTAGCCCAAATCCAATCCCCATCCAAGCGCCGTTGAAAATGAGACCCGCTTCGTTAGATCATAAGTCGTCTATCCATACATATAGAATTATGCCATTGTCATTTGCACACCGTCAATCACCCTGATAGTTTCATCGTCCCGCACCTAGTACAAGTCCACCATTCGGTTTCCATAAAGGTTCCGCATTCGTGGCATAACCATCCGAGAGGCTTGTCCGCAGGTTTTTCCGGCGGTTTCTTACTCTCAAGAGCCATAATAGACCTGATAGCGCTTTTTCGGGTCTTGAGAGTAGTGGGTTCTGCCCTCGTGGATGACCCAAGGGATTTGTCGGCAGACCGTTTCGCAGGTATCGTTCTGGGTTTAGGGGGAGGTGTTTTGGATTTTTGTGGTCGCTCCGTAGCGCATGCATCGCAGCAAAGGAAATTTGGTGGGTTTGAAAGGGTGCAGATGGGGCATGACCATCCATCTGGGGTGTTGTCATCTGTGGTCAAGTCGACACTAGGTGATTTCTCCAACGGCAGTTGGTTCGTAGTAGTAGGCTTGGAACTTTCGGGTATAGGCGGGGGAGAAACGGATGATCGGGGGCCTGCTGGATGCTCTTGGCTTGGGGGAATATATGAGTTTCCATACGTTTCTTTCTCTTCTTCCTGAATCATCTCAATAAACGCTTGCATTATCGCTTGCTCGTTCGCATCTTCTTCTTCCGCCTTGGTTTTGAAACCATTGTGCGAGGCATCTTCTGCCAGTTTTTGGCCCTCATCCGTACCACTCGCACATCCCTCGGTAACGGTAATGCGTCTCTGAGCTGCGTCCGCGATAACTTTTCGAATATTGGTCCCCCTCAGTACTGGAGCACCGCCAAGTTTCCGACCAGACCCTGCACCAAGGCTCTGTCGCTTCTCCGCCGCAACACGTGCGCGTCGGCGGGCTTCGTCTAACGGTATTCTTCGCCCGCCAAGACGCTTGCCATTCGACAGGAATCCTTCACCAGTATATCCTTTTTGGATAAGCTGTTCATGCTCATCCCGGAGTTGATTCCAGAGAGCGTGAAACTGCTGGTTGTGAGGCCCGTGGACGATATGACAAAGCCTATTGATATTGATAAGCATAAACTCCAACCAAATGAGAGGCTAGTTAACTTAACGCGTACTCATGAAGCATAGTGTCAACAACTTGTTCAATCGGAATAAACTGATTTTTATCAGAAGGGTATCTCAACCGCAGGCATATTTTCTGTCCCATGTTGATATTCAAACCCAGTAGATTCCTCTCCTGGGGGTAGAACTCGCTGAGCGTGCCAACTCTCCATGATCGTTGTCGCATTATCGGCTTGACAAGAGACGCAACTTTCCGAAGTGTAGTCAAGGCTTCGGCCTCCCTTGGGAGCCGTTTATCATGTTGGTACTCTGAAACCAAGGGGTCAAGTTCCCTCATGGTCGTCGCTGTGTGTACAGGAAATCAATATCTTCAGGGGGTATTAGATTCAGGTCAGGAATAAAGGCCACAGAAACCGTCATAAAAGTAGAACAGGCACCGTTAAGAGGAAGAATTTAAGGGTGCCAGTTATGGAAGCAACTAGAAGGGAGTGATTAATAAGAAGCCATAGAGGGGGTAAAAGAGGGCGTAGAATATAGCAGTGAAGAGGTTTTTAAGGGCTTCCCAGCAAGAGGGGCCCCTATTCTCTACCAGAGGCAAAAAAGTTGAGCGCACCAGCCCTTTGCAAAGAGCGGAAGACGTGTTTGTTGGCGTGGAGCTTCCTTTGATGTAAGAACGAGAGATCGCCAACATGCATGTTCACGTGATCCGATCAGAGTCTTTATGCGGATGCTTCCCATCTCATCCTCGAGTCTCTCTTGCAAGCACCATAGCTCTCCACAAGCCTATATCCCTTTCGATCCAAAATGACGAGCGACGACCAGTTTTTCTTTGACTATGTAAGCTCCCCAACCCGCCCAGGCACCCCTCAAGCTAACCCTTCACCTGTAGCTATCCTCCATCCCGAATGACGTCAAGAAATACTCACTGCAAGTTGCGGACTCAATAGACCGACATGTTGAGTACGCAGCTGTGCATATCCGCGACAACCTCTCCCATCAGTCATGGCTTCCCTCATCTATCCGCCCGAAGAGACCTCCTCAGAGAATAGCGCCGCCGTCGCCGCCGAAATCTCTGGTTGATGGCATACAGAACTGGATTTTAACAAATCGGGCGTGGAGCGCTGCAGCTCTTGCCTTTGTTGGGACGGGTGTGCTTTTAATCTATGGCAATAGGAAGTTTAATGTTAAGAAGAGGAGGGCGCGAAAGGCCGGAAATGGTGCACGTAGAGAAATCGTCGGTATGTGGCCTCCAGCTGCTGGTGCTTTTTGGCCGAAAACTGACCTAAATTAGTGATCTCCGGGTCGCCGCATGAACCGATGACACGATCGATCGCATCCGATCTTGAACGTCGAGGATATATAGTATTTATTACCGTTACGTCGCACGAGGAGGAGAGCGCTGTTCATGCCGAGGGTCGCTCCGATATCCGCCCGCTTTTCCTCGACCTCACAACCGTATGCCAACTACTTCGAGCTCCTGAATAGATTCTCACTAACTGGTTTATTCGCAGACTCCCTCTTCCCCCTCCGAAATACATCCATCTCTCCACACAATCTACTCGTTAATATCCCAGCCGCAAGTTCCGATGCAGGGTGTCCCACCACATATCTGCCAACTAAGCGGGCTGGTCTTAATACCTTCTCCAAACTACCCATCTGGCCCACTAGCCACAATTCCAGCTTCTAGCTTGGCCGATACCGTCAATACCCGTCTCCTCTCGCCCATTCTAACGACACAGCTATTCCTACCACTCCTCACCCTTAAAAACAACCAGAGCTCTATCCTTCTCTTGTACCCCTCGATATCTACCGCCCTATCCCCACCTTTCTCAACTCCAGAAGTTGCAGCTACGCAAGCCCTCTCTGGCTTTGCAACCAGTCTCCGACGGGAGCTACGCCTCTTGCAGTCTTCAAATGGCAGTGGTAGCACCGTGGATGTAGTGGAGCTAAAGCTCGGGAATATTGATCTTGGGCCTCTTTACCGCGGTGTGCAAGGCGGCCAGGCTACAGGAACTGAAGTACTCACCTGGAACCCCCAGCAGCGTGCTCTTTACGGGCCGCAGTACCTATCCAATCTTGACCACCGTTCCGGTTCCGCCCCAGGTCATCGTTCCGTTCGTGGTACTCCTGCGCGGGATCTCCATTTCGCTGTTTTCGATGCCCTTGCTCCTTCTCCTAAAAGCCTTTTCTGGGGCCGGGAGAGGAAGCCGGAAGCTGTATATGTTGGACGAGGATCACGTGCGTATGCGCTTGTAGGGAACTGGGTTCCCGGTGGGTTGGTCGGCTGGATGCTTGGTCTAAGATCTGGGTACCAGGGTCCGGCCTACGATTACCCCCGCAACGGAAACGGAAGCGGGAGTGGAAGCGGGAGCAGGAGTAGCAGTAGTGGTGCGGGCTGGGAGAGGGTTGGATAGACAGGTGACATTATACCTGGACGTCGTCCTACCGTTACACCTTCACTTTTTCGTTCTGTGGAATGCTCACTGCTATATATCTTCACTCTTTACTTTGTTTATGCATCAAAAATCGGGGTTATCTATGGGGCCCGGTGGTAGGCATTGGGAGGTTTTCTTGGGTTTCACGAATATTTATATCTATCTTTGTTTAATATTCTGCTCTGCTGTTTTTCATTCTCTCTCCCCTCTGTACCCATCTCAAAATCCCCGAATCCCAAACACCAGTTGCTCGTTCTGTCTCGGGATATCGATGAAATTTAACGCTCACGCCCAGCTATTGTCGTTATTTTCAGCAGCGCTTCCTTGTCTCTTGATATTATTGGGTTCTTCGTCTTCTCTTGTGAAGTCTATTCTTCCATTACGTCCCGAAAACGCTGAGATTATATGTCCATAGGCTAACCCTGCCCAAATCACTCATTACATCCTCGATTATATCCTCCTCACATACAAATTATATATAATTAAATCCACCCCTCTTCCATATACAATAATCATACCTGTCCCACCGTCTCCTTCGTATATTGCACCACCTCTCTCTGCACCCCCCGATTCCAATTCTCCGTATCCTTCCTCGCCCACTTCACCTTCCCACCCACAGCCTTCTGCCTCCCCCAATGCATCAACCACACCACTCCAAAAACAACAATCACACCCGCCAGAATCCCAAAACAATACCCCGCCACTAAGCCGCTGGAGTTCTCTTCCGGGTCGAGGAAACTGTAGGTGTAGAATCCCTGGGTGGCGTGCGTGAGGTATGCGAGGGAAACGTACAGGGCGAGGATGAATATGAGGAAGGGGAGGTGGAGGATGTGTGGGGGGAGGGTTGTTGAGAAGATGATTTCGAAGAGAGAGAGGAAGGGGGGGAGGGCGTGTTGGGAGACCTGTTGATTGGATATCGGTTAGTTATTTGTCCCCTTTGTGCTTTACTCCCTCCAGAACGGGAGAAATGGTTGTTCATACGTTAGTCCATGCCTCAAACGTCACCGGAAACCAAGGATCCTCATAAAGAATCGCCCAATAAACAATCGTAACAATAAACGGAAAAGTCGTCACCGTCGCATAGAATATACTATGCAACACCCTCACCACCCGCGGACACTTATCAAAGACCACCGAGCGCCCCGTCGCCGCGTACAGGAACGTATGTATCGCCGCAACGAGGAAGTAGAACGCTACTCCCC